GTTGGTAACCAAACAGTTGCTTGTAGCCATTGACTTCCATAGTATTTTCCATGCAACCACATTCATCAAAATATAATTCAAAATTGTGTTCAACAAAAGAAAAAAACTCTCACATGTTTGGAACAACATGAGTAAATGATGACAAAATATTCATTTTTGGCTGAACTATCCATTTAATGTATGTTCACAAAGAAAAGTGTTGTTTTAATCCTGACTTCTTTCCAGACTTTTTCTTTTTTTGTCGAACACAAATGGAGTAAATTTCAATAACGTGCTGGTTGTTTTTTTTCAGTGCAATTACAATGTTTACAAAGAAATCTTAAAAGTGCTCGATATGACTTGTTCCAAGTCTCCTGAAGCCATGTGATATCTTTGTGTGAGAAACAGACTTAAATGTATAGTTTTAGCATTATCAAAATGTTTGACATTCATTATAGCTCTTCTACGACATTCATCTATGAACAACAAATTATATTGTTGCCTATTTCTCATACAAAGCTGTCATATGACATTAGAAGACTTGTAATATATTACATAAAGTAATTTTTACTGTACTTTTTAAAGCTTGAAAGCTTCAGTCTGAGTGACCAAAAAGCAATAATAAAGAGGAACCAGCACATTTTTCAGAATCTCTCCTTATGTGTTCCACAGATGAAAGAAAATATATTTCTCCTTTTACCCTCCATTATTCCTTTATTGCGATGCGTTCAGACCCCTGGTCATGAGCTCAAACATCCCATGTAGTTTACTGTGTTATTGCTGAAGATCAAAAGGAAAGTGCTTGTTAGTTTTTGATTACCATTCTCAAAGAACCACAAATTTCCATTTTTGGATGAACTATTCATTTAGTACAAATATTTGAATTATTTCTCCGGTCTTTTCGCTTCCTTTAGGCACTGTCGCTGATCGTCCTTCCTTTTATACCTGCATCCAACCTGTTTTTCCCTGTGGGCTTTGTTGTAGCCGAAAGGGTCCTGTACGTGCCCAGCATGGGATTTTGTGTTTTGGTAGCCCATGGATTTAAACTCCTGTCCCAAAGAGGGTAATCGTCCTCTAAACAAATACTTCATTCCCTGTAAATGACTTGTTCAGAGACTCATTCCCTGTTTTTGTGACATTATCCAGAGGCCTAAAGAAAACGTCTTGGTTGCTCATGGGAGTTCTTCTAACAACACACGCCGTGAAGACTTTCAACAGAAACTGGGATTGGGAATCCGAATACACGCTTTTTACATCTGCACTGAAAGTATGAATACATCCAAGGACACATTATTCATTTATAGATCCACATCTGGCCACAGGCTCATACATATTGTATGCTTGTATTTTGAGATCATTACTTTGAATAAATCCAGCTCGCTGCCTTATATCAAAGGGCGAATCCAGACGTTAACATGAGTACAATGAAATGATGTCTGGAAAATATGATTTGTTATGTCAGCCTGGCCTGAAACATTTCAAAATTGTTTTCCTCCAGGTGAACAGGAACAATGCCAAACTCTGGAACAATGTCGGACATGCTTTGGAGAATCAAAATAGTTATGAGAGAGCATTGAGATACTTCCTTCAGGCCACAAGAGTGCAACCAGGTAATTGACTCATTTGCCAGATTATCTTTTGAAGTTTACCCTAGCATCTTTAAAGTAAATGTGACCATTTTACTTGCGTAATTGTGCATGAAACAGGTTATTCAATGAGGAAAAAATGTAGAATGGGGATTTTTTCCCACTGGGAATTTATTGGCGTATTATACTTATTAATATTATATATTCTGATAATGGAGCCAGACTGAATGCTTAATTAGCCTTTTGGCTATTAGTTAATATTATCCACTAGCCGTGTGGCATCAGCAAAAGGGAAAATTGTTTCAGAAGAACAGCGAGTTGTTACATTTTAATGAAAGATTATGAAAACAAATTTTAGCACCAATGAATCATTCACAATAACAATATTAAGAAAGTAAATGAGGCCAGTCTTAATTTATGTGGACTTTATATGGATTTATGTGGAGTCATTAAGGCAAATGTGCTAATGATAAATGATAAATCTGGGAATGATTTTGCACCACATTGTTTTCCACAGACACAAAATGCTAAAAAGACTTGCATGTGTAATATTTCCATCAGTTCTTTCGCAAATATTGGCAGAGGAAGTTAAAATGGAGTTTATTTTAAACAAAATTCACCATTGGATATGTTGTTTTAGGGAGGTGTGGGAAATTCTGCCTTATTATTAGTTTGGAGGCATGATGGTAAAGACGATTTCAAATTGTGTATAAGCTAACAAGAAGTAGTTTGTGTAGTATTTCTTGGGACTGTATGAAAACATTGGCGCATAAAACTATTTTCGCACTTTAGTGTCTTGAGAATATGTGGATTTTAGGATTTGATGTGAGAAGATGAGGATTTAGGTTTTGTATTGGCTTTTCTGCACTTCTGTCAGGCTATCTGTGAGAAAGACGGCTGTAGCTGCCAAAGCCATTAGACTATCGACTTTAATTGTTTAAGTTATGTTGGTTTATTGGGCTAACGTGACTTGAGAGATCTACCACCCAAGATGTGTTTTTCCCAGAT